ACTACTGATCTTTTCGTGAAATCAACAATGTAGATCTGTACATCCTTTTAGTATTTAAACACATCCTTTTAGTATATTAAACTAAATGAGCAAGTACAATATAATTCCAAAAGAAATACGCAATTATTGATTTTTATTAGAAGTTTCGTCACTGATTGATAAAATAGCTTACAATTAACAAAATTAGATAATTTATCCAGTAATGTTAGATAAAGCCAAATGTAATAAACTACAGTGGTTAAATTTGGAAGAAAGGTCAAAATTGCCTTTTTTTCAAGTTGTGAACGATGTTAGAAGGAAATTTATCTAATAAATATATAATTACTGTATTGTTATATGCATTAACTATTACATTCATTACATTTATATACATAAATAATTACATTTAAATAATAAATATTACTTTTATTAAGATTACTTATAATCATCTATATTATATAATTATACAAGCAAATGCGATGGCACAACCATCGAGTATTTTCGCTTATATTCTTTATCTTTGGAAGAATAAGATAGAAAAAGAAAACAAAAGAAACAGAAAAAAAAATAATTCTAGGATCTGCCAACATTTTAGTTATGTATAGTATATTATAAAAAATCTGATGTGCACATAACCGACCACAATGTGTATTGTCTGGTTAAGTGAAAGTGTCACAAAATATTATAAAAATGTCTGTTAAATACTTCTTTCCAATTTTTAGGACATTAGTAAGCTTATAGTTAATATACCTAGAAATATGTAAATTTGGCTCTTACTTGAGTTCCGCTTTGTGCTACAAGAATTCTCTTAAATGCTCGCCAGTTAGTTTCGGTACCAACTCAAATATCACATTTCAAATGTAGAACTCTAATATCAAATTTCAAGAAATTCCATCAATTCGTTCCGTAGATATGGTAAAAAATGTAAAATCCGCCCACAAATCAGTTTTCGAGCCCTGATCTTTCCAAAAAATTTATAGACTCATTGTTTTCACACCTCGAATTTAAATATTAAATTTCAATTAAATCGGTTGATTATTTCTCTTTATATACACAAAAATGCATATTTGGCCCGTAGTAAACGTCCAGTTGCTGACACCTGATCTCTTCCAAATTTCAAGTAAATCGGTTGAATATTTTCTTCAAAATGGTCAAAAATGTAAGTCAGGCCCGCTAAAAAGTGCAGTTCCCAAGGGCTAATATATCCCAAAAGTTGATCAATCCGTGCCATGTCCGAAATAAACTTACATATAAAATTTCATTAAAATCGGTTCAACCTAACTTGAGATACATGCGTGCACACACAAACCGACAGGTTGCTAAAAATAGTTTATTTACACTTCCCTACTACAGAGAAGTGAATTTCCACCGAAAACTCGATATGCAAAATTTATTGCAATCACATGATCTACTTATTGTATACACAATACGGTCGGTAATTATATTTAGATTTGTTACAGAATTTTTTTATTTTTGTGTTAATTTTAAGAAGCCTGTTACCCAGCGCAGAGGCGATAACAATCGCTTCTATATAATTTATTCTTAATAATATTGTTTTGTTAATCATTTTCTGCAAAATGAATCAAATCAGCAAAGAAATATAATTCTTGCATGAATCATATTAACGCATATGCAATAAAGTAACACTCAGAAAAGTTTTTTATGTCGGATCGACATACCAACTTGATGTAAGTCAACATAATACTTGCAAAAAATATTATAACTTATTATGTTAGTTGACATGTTAAGTTTATTTGGAACCTAATGTGTATATTACATTTGTATGTTTAGCTTCATTTCAATATTTATTTATTCTTGCAGAGCATTAATAAATTATTAATACTAGATATGATAATTTAACTAATAGTAATTTATATTAATTTATTTACAGTGAAGCTTCTATAACCCGAATCTTTAAATGATAGTAAAAATGGTCGGGTGAAAAAATTTAATATATAAAATTAAATATTTGAAAAATTTAAATAAAATATTACAAAATTAGTGTGACTCAATGATGAACTTAAGCTACGATAAGCTCGAGTGAGTCAGGTTTAAATGTATTTAGTTATGAAAGAAATTCTGGACACAAACTACTACTAAAAGGCAAAACAGATTGTTTTAAGTCAAATAAAGTAATTTTATTTATAATATTGAAATATATCCGATTTATAATCTTCTACTGAAGTAATTTTTCGATTATTATTGGGTAACATATTATTAAGTTAAAATTCTAGTGAGTTAAAAATAATCAACCTATAGTCGATATGAACAAATTTATTTCATTTTTTGTCTATTTTATTATTACTTTACTAAAAAAGTCAATTTGAAAATTTAATTGAAAATGAAAAACGATCAAAAATAGCTACAAAAAAACTATGTATGTATTTTTTAACTTCACATTCAATATTAAAAAATAATAAAACAAAGAAAAAAAAAACTGAAAAGTTCCAAAATGAAATTTTAAAATAAAATGCACAAAAAGTAGAAGTTATTACTATGTAAAAATTTCTTCATTTTATTTTACATATGCAAAACCCCATACTTCAAATCAATAAAAATGCAAACAAAGAATGTAAAACCCTTTATAGCCAGCCACAACTTGAAACATAGAGTTGAATAATTTTATGAACTCAAAAAAAAAACAAAAACAAGAAAGGGTGAAAAAGCACTATACTTTATTATATGAGGATCAAAAAAAAGTTTTCAAAAGTCTTTACATTCCATTCATTTCTATTTACAACACTTTTTACCTTTCATTCCAAAACTTTCATAAATAAAGTGTGTAAATAGATAATATATGTATACATGTACACATATATATACATATGTGAACCAATACATGCCCGGCTATCCTTTTTTCATTAAGTTTCTGTTTTAAATCATTTTCGTTTTCTTTTCTTTTCATTATTCAGACTTTAATTACAATTTTTGGTCAATTTTCATATGGTTTTCTTTTATTTAGATTTGCTTTGGTCTCTTAATTTGAACCCTCTTTTATGTACGTGACGTCCCTGACATTTGATTTTGTATATTTATATATTATTATGGTCATCAATTTGTATAGACAAATATATATTTTCGTTTTACATACGTATGTATGTACATGCAAACAGGTATAAACGAATTATCAAATCAATTTATTTTTATATTTACTTTTTTGGTTTTTGGAAAATATTCAAAGGTGTATCTGTGAATCTATATAATGTACATATGTAAATCGAATATTATACATTGACTGCAGTGAATATATCACCTATTGACAAAAGCTCTAGACAAAAAGTAGATTTTTTAATTAAAATGTTTTTATCGTAGATTGTAAAATTGCAAATTGGTAATGTGGGCTCTCAATATGTTCTATACAATTAGATATTTCAAAATAGAATAAAGTTTTCTTATATAAGTACAATTATTCCTACACATACGTAAAATACTACGATTGGTACACGATAAATTTTATTAAAACCAAAAAAGGAAAGGATAAACGGAAATAAAAATTGAACAAAATCTTATTTTTATTTATCTGAAGCTTAGAATAGAAAAAATATATGAAAGTAAAATTAACCAGATTGAGCCATACTTAAACGTAATTTAGAATATATGTTTCACGAATTTTACCGATCATAATGCATATAATAGAGGAGGTGTTCACACAAACCAGTTACAAAGAAACAATTTGTAATCAGCTGCAGGAAAATATTCGTACAACTTTGACTATTTCTCCACTAGATGTATGAGTATTTTCCTGCAGCTGAATAAAAATTAGTTCCACGGTTGCTCTTGAATTTTATATTCAAACTCTTTAGAAGCATTTTCGTCCAACCAATAAAAACATATTTATTGGAATTTGTGTGTACTAGTTACTAAATATAGTGTTTACAAAATCAAATTTTTATTTTTATATTCTAGATGTAAAACGATGATTACAAATGACAGAATGTAAATCTTTTTATACCCGTACGAACGTATATTCGAAGGGTATACTAAATTTGTCTTATCGTTTGTAACGCTAAGAAATAATGGTCTAAAAATATAGACTCAAGTATATTTTTTTGATCAGCGTCGAAGTCTGAGTCGATTTAGCTTTATCTCTCCTTCTCCATTCGTCACCAAATTTCTTCTGATTTATTATAGTAAATACCAGAACCCAATTTTAATTGGGTATGATCAATTTTAATTGGGTATGATCAAGGTACTGGTTCGGGTAGATGCCATACAACTTCAAAATTTATTTAGCTATATCTTAAAAATTGTTCAACCTACAGTACTGAAATTTTGCAAAATAAAATATGGTAAAATGGCTGCCATACAGCTTCAAAAGTTATTTGGAATTATCACAGAAATTATTGGATCTATAATGTAGAAATTGCGTGAAAATAAGTGTGTTATTAGGGCTGTTGTGTGAAAAAACTCGTTGAAATTTCTTAGCTCCTTGTCGTTGCTGCCATACAACTCCCATAGTAGTTTGGCCATGTTTAAGAAAATATTGAAAACACAATACTGAAATTTTGCATAAAATAATAAGGCAATACGGCAACTTAAACTCATAGTCTGCCCCACAGCTACGGCATATTTACTCCCACATAGGATAACAAATTCTAGCTGGTATCACAGCTACTTTTTTTTTGTAGTATTTTCTATTTAAATTTTGAGGAAATAAACAAAAATGGCTCATAAAAACAAATTTTAGGCAAAAAATTTCGAATATGCGATCAAGTTTCCAAAGAAACTTTTTTTTTGTCTATTTTAAATTCAAAATAAAATGCAATTTTTATAAAATTGTAAAATTTCTGTCAAAAGAGTTGATTTATATTTAACAAGTTATAAATCATATAAATAAGCTCTTTTATAGCTTCAAACCTGTAGCTCTTCAAAGTTAAAAAAAAATTCAGTTTTTATAAAGTTAGAATTTTGAAACCAAAAGCACTTTACGTATCCCGTATTTTGCAAAGAGGCAAAACTCGTAATGACATAACTAAAAAATTTATTTAAAATTAATTTTTTTTCGTAGTTCAAGAAAAATTATTTTATAAAAAATTTTATTTTTAAAATTCACGGCTTTTTTATTCAAATTATTTATTTTATGCAAATTTAATAAAGTTATTATTATTATAGTTTGATTTTTAAAATATTTTAAACTAATAAGCAAAAAATATTACAAAAAAACTTTAATCAATTTCTGCAGAATGCGAAACCGTTCTGCGTATTTTATTAAGATAACGTCACAAAAAAAGCAATGCTTCGCATATCACATCTAACCTAAAATTCCACCTAAACCAGCAGGTCTTTTACTTGGATGGGGTTTTTCTAAATTGAAACCACTTCCTCCTACTCCAAGAGGATTGGTAATTGAGGAGCCTAGATTTTTTAAAGTTCCAGTAGCATTGTGAAGCCCACCCAATATTGTATTTAACCCAGAGCAAGTAGTTGATTGTAAAGCTTGTAAAGGTGCTCCATATATGGATAGCTCGCAAAATCTAAAATTATTTGAGAATGTTAATGAATCAGAAATTTCCAAGAAAGGTGCTCCTTTTCCGGTAAATCTTTGAAATAGACTTTTTGAATCAGTTTCTGTTTCAGAATTCATTTTTGAAAATTGTTTTAGAACCGAAATAAAATTTATGCGAACTTTTAAATCTTTTTCTTCAGTGAGTTTTGCGTTTGCTATAGGATTTCCGTAAATGTCATTTGTTTCAAATAAATAACCAAGTTCATCACCATGGCCGGTATAATTTGTTTGCTGATCACCAGATACGATGGGTAGACCTCGGAGAAAGTTTATGCCTTTGGAGACATTTCCTTTAAAATCAAAACTATATAAATAGGCTGGAGCAACTTTACTCCAATTCTCAGCTGAAAGAACTGCTGGCAAATTGAAAAGAACGTCGGTGGTAGTTTCTGTAAGCTAGAAAATATCTCTTACAAAAATTTCAGCCTTGTTTTCATGGCTACACTTACCTTTTGAAATATCTCTGCAGGCGATAGAGAAGTTGGCACTTTCAAATAAGAATTTAGATCGATTGAAATACCTTCCAAACCAGGTAATACCGGTTTTAAAATTTCACCAGTTATCTTGTCAATAGCCAAAAAGCTCTTCAATTTGTTTATAGAATCCATCATCGACCCAAGAAATTTATCTAAGGAGCCATAAATTTTTGACAATGTTGCTATTGCAATTCCGTTCGCAGTTTCATGTTTCGCGGTTCCAATGAGTAATGGAACTTTAGAAAACTCTCCGTTTTTAATAATAGACTCGGCTTTAATTGTCAAAAATCCTGGTAAGGCTCGGTCGTCATCGGGTACTTCTACATGTGGTTGAAAAGCACTGCTGCCAGCAATTCCTTTAACCATAGCTCTTCCATGAAGTCGTTCCGTTTCGACTTGCGAATCTGCTTTAATAATATCTTCTACAGACCGCTAAAAAGTTAAAATAATTTTGTAAATAAATTTTATTTAAAAATATTTTAATTTAGATCTAATCTAATTTTATAGAATGTAAAAAAAGGGAGAATAACGCAATATCATGTACAGAATTTTTATTAAAAAAGCAACTAGTAATTTATAAAGAAAGTACTAATTTTGAATTAGCAATTTTAACTTAAATGACGTAATTGTAGTAAACTTTAAGCGTCATCTTTTGTCATTGCTTAATTTTGAAAAAATTTTACGATTTTATTTGTAAACGTTTAACTTTATTTAACTATTATTTAATAACTTAACTTGTAATAACGATAATTTTCCAATTGTAATTAAAATATGTAGGAGTACTTTATAATTACTTACACTTCTTAAACATTTGAGTATTTCTATGTTATTGCTTGTAGGACACTCATTTAGCTCAGCTATTTCTTCTACTGTTTGAACAGGCTCTTCATCGGTAGCGTATTGTGATAAGGCTGAACCGGACATTGACACTATACCAGTCAAATCACCACTTCTTGGTAATCTGGATACACCCATATACATCGCGCTAGCAGCTCCAGATCCATGTCCAATAACTTTCATTTGCTTTGGATCGCCGCCGAAAAAAGATATGTAATCTGTCACCCATCTCAAGGCTACAGTCATATCAAGCATTGCTAAGTTTCCACCGAATTCTTTAGATCCGTCTCCAACAATTCCCAGGGTACCTAAACGGTATTGTACAGGAACGAAAATCATTCCATTTTGCGCTAACGGCTGAGCATCATATTGTGCTGCAGATCCTTGCCGAAAGCCGCCAGGGTGGATCCAAACATATACAGGCAAACCGGTAGTTTCGTCAGGCATTTGTGGCGTATAAATATTAAGTATTAAGCAGTCTTCATTGCCTATGACTTTATTGGGATTATATGGGTCTGGCTGCGGGCACGGTGGTCCATAACGTGTTGCATTTATATCACCTTCTAACCGTCGAAACCTGGGACGTAAAAATCGGTTTTCTCCAACTGGAGGATCAGCATATCGTATTCCCAAAAAATTATAAATTCCTGTTTCCTCATGGCGAAAACCTTCCACTCGAGCATCCCTATCATACATTTGTGAAAATACTACCGGATCATCAGGCGGCGGTTTAGCTGCTTGCCTTCCACCAACAATACGTTTTACTCTTACGGTTTGACGTTCATTATTTGCAGGAGCGCAAAAACAAAATAAAAATCCATAGTTTATAATAAAAATGTGACAAGTAAAAAACTTCATTATTAAAACATTGCTTACACTTAATATATATTTATTTTATACATAACACGGTTTTAATTAAAAGTCAACAATTTAAAAAGCAAAACGAAAACAATGTGAGCTTTTGCTTTATAATTTAACAATTAATCACGACAAAGGTTGAATATAAACTGAGCGTTTAAAAAGAGCAATATTAATATACTACATTAAGACTTTTACAGATTAAAGCCAGTTATAAAAATCTCCCGCATTTAGACTATAGATATATTTACCTACATACATGCATATATCCAGTTCTGATTATCGCATCACCGTATTGATCGCCGTTTAGATAATGTTTTCATGATGAATTCACACAATATGCATGTGCAGCATTATAAAACCAAGAGAGAAAGAGAGTGAAGTATAAATATTACATATTGCCTAAATATGACAAATTGCATTATAAATTTTCCACTTGGTTTGTAAGTAATAACGGTTTTTAAAGAAAACGTGAAACTATACCAAAAATGGTTATGAAGTTATTGTACTTTGTGAAATATAATTTGGTAAAGCTTTATTTACAATAGTAAAAAAATTTAAGCAACCAAATCTAAGTTTTAATATCATACGACTTGTTTAACTAAGCGACAAATATCAGAAAAAATTTAAGTCAAGCATAAGAACCATCATTTATACTCCCAAAATGCATCTAAGTATGCTAGTTTTTCAACATTTTCAAAATTGTAATACTTACGTGTATCAAAACATATTTCATTCTCAAATCACTAAAAAATATATCGACAACGGCTTAATCTTAAACTATTGTAATGACGAACACAAACAGTTTGTTAAACAAATATTTTTGATCTTCGTTTACTTTTAATTCATTTTTCTTATTAACGAAATTATGTTGTTAGTGTATAAAATAATATAACTACAACTATGACGGATTCAGCTATATTCAACAGATCAAAGAAATTCCAGTAGCTACAAAAACGATTTAATTTTATAAATGTAGTCACGACAGTGATTAAGTATTAGTGTCAAATTAATGTAAACAGTAGACATTGATTTACTGATATATGTATGTTCATGCATATATGTATGTATATTATGCCAACAAAATAATCAGCGAAATGTTCATTATTATTGAGTTGTGATATGCATTTATAATTATTTCTCGTTAGTTCTTATTTAAAAAAAGCAACACGACACATAATATTTCGATCGTCATTAAAATTCAAGATGAACCTGTTTTGTTGATACAATAAGAATTATCAGAATTTAAATTTTTATTTATGATTTTTTTATTTTATAATAAAAAGCAAAAGTTAAACTATGTTTAGGGAAAAATAGTATTTTGTAAACGTACAATATAATGTAAATATGCTTAATACAAATCAAATCAAAAGTGTGTTAAAGGGCTTATATGGTTTTGAATTTTTATTTTTAACTTCATTAGAGTTTAATTTCAGCATAAATCCAAAATATTTTTTTAAGAAACGCAGAGAGAATATTATTTTTTCTATCATAAATCCATACTTCATTCACAACTTTAATAAGCCATTAAACATTATAGTCTTCGTCGTGCGAAAATGACAGTAGTCAAAAGAAGTACACATAGAACCCTTAGAGCACATTTTAAATTTTTTCACGTTAGAAACGAAGTGGAAATTGCAAACATGTTATAACAACGATAAATAATTTTGTGATTTATCATTGATATTAGGACGCAATAACAAATAATACATCTCGTTTTATTACTTTTAAAATTTATTATTAAGGGAAAAATTATATTACAAACGTATTGGAACTAAAACGATACTTTTTGATTAAAGTTAGGGAAGTGAAACTGTTTCACCCGACAATGTACTTCCATCAGAAAATATTTGTTTACCCATGTCCAACAGTTATTCTTAAGATAATACTTCTTATTTAATTGTAATTTTTAATCTATTTCTCTGAACTTTGAACGTTAGTTACATGTAAACGCATTCGAATGATTTTTTTTTTTTCTTTTTTTTCTCAAATTTTTAAATCCTACACCTCCAAATAAAGTTAATTAATATACTAAAATTGGCTAACTCTATAGCGTACCGCGTACAATTATTGACACTTGATTAAATTTGAGCATCCGTAAAATATAAATTGAATATTCCTCTTTCATAATCATAATACAAAACTTTATCAAATTGTTAAATAAAAGTATTAAAAATTAAATTTTTTACATTTTTTTTTTTCTACTAGGTGAAAAAATCTCGAAAGACGAAGAAGGACGGCTGTATCTGCCTTTTTCTTCCGACAGTGGGGGAGCGTAACTCCTACCCTAAAAAATCACCTAAATTCTGAACGGATAAAACTGGTCCTAAAGACCAACTATTACCTCCGCGCTAACTTGGTTTTTCCGTGCAGGAATTAAATACCTTCCATAAGGAAATCGGTATTTCATGTTAAATCGAATGGTCTTGTTCGTTTAAGTCTTTCTGTCATAACGCCATTGTCTAGCAGCCGAGCTGCTTCCATATTTACATGCTGTTCTAGACGAGCCCTATGCTTTGTAGCACAACTTCTTATTTCATCCACAACCAAAGGAATTCCTAAGTCCCTGTAGATATCACTGTTATGTATATACCATGGCGCATTTACCATGCCCCGTAGAACTTTATTCTGGAAGGTTTGAATTTTGTTAATGTGAGTCTTCTTGACACAGCTGAATGCCATATCGCCATATTGATTTAATGATTTGGTTATAAATTAATATCTTATTATCAATTGCCAAATTGGACTTACGACCTAGGAGCCAATAATTTTCTCTATATTTATTTTCTAATTCTATGTGTTTCTTCTTTATATGCTCTTTCCACCTTAGCTTGACATCTAAAGTCATTCCTAGGTATTTTGTTGAGTTATGGATCGCTACGTTCGTTCCATTTACGTTAATTTGTGGTGGATTCACTATTTTCCGATTGGTGAAGTTTATGTGAACCGATTTTGCTTCATTCAACTTCACCCTCCAATCTCTAGTCCACTGGCTTATCTTGTTAATTGCCTCCTGTAATTTTTTTGTCGAATCGTCAATGTTCACTCCTACTGCCAATATTGCAGTATCGTCAGCAAAAGTGGCTACCGTAGCATTTTCTATTTGTAGCAAATCACTCGTGTAAAGCAGGTACACCGTTGGGCCCAATATACTGCCTTGAGGGACACCTGCCTTTATTTCTCTTAGCGTGGAGTATTCAGCATATTGTTTAATTCTAAATAATCTATCAGCTAAGTAAGATTTCAAAATTTCTACAAATGACGATGGTAACATTTGCCCTAACTTAAGTATAAGGCCTCTGTGCCACGCCTTGTCGAATGCCTGTGCTACGTCTAGAAACATAGAAGAACAGATTTTCTTATTTTCCAAGCTTTTTTCTATAATATTAGTTATTCTATGGACCTTTTCTATTGTAGAATGGCTTCTTCTAACATAAAACCAAATTGATGGTTCGGTATTTGGCCCCTATTTTCTATTATTGGCTTCAATCTCCTCAATAGCAGCTTTCCAAAAAGCTTAGACATCATTGGTAACAGTGAAATGGGCCTGTAAGACTTTGTTTCCCTCAAGGATTTCCCGAGCTTGGGCACCACAATTACTTTCGCGACTTTCCAAGCACAAGGAACATACCTTAAATCCATAGCTGCATTCATGATTTTCGTCACATGTTCCAATGTCTCGTCTGGTAGCTCTCTCACTACTTCCGCAGTAATAAGATCAAAACCTAGCGATTTTTTCAACTTCGGGGATCCTATCCCTTCCGCAACCTCTAATTGAGTAAGCCGAGCTATGCTGTCTGCTTCATTTGTTTTCCAAGTGATTAGCAAACAATTCGGCCTTCTCCATATTGCTCCTCGCCCAACTGCCATTTGCTTTCATCAATGGCGGAGCATGCCTAATTGGTCTCTTTTTGCTGACAAATTTTTTATATAACTTTCGTATGTTGCCGATTTAAATTCTTGGATTTTTCTTTTAAGCACCTAGGAAAGTCTGTTTAAAACAGTTTTATCATCAGGGTGACGCGAACGTTGCCATCTACGTCTGGCTCTCCTTTTTTCACCTACTAAATCAGTTATTTCTCGAGGATAGCTATTTGTTGTCGGTTTGTACTTTGACATTTTTGTATTGTTCCATGCAGCTCTTTGTATGATTTTAATAAATCCTTGTAACTCTTGTCTATTAACATAAATCCTTGTATTTTAATATTTACGTCAATATTGATTATTATTTCGTATCTAAAGCTCACCCAATCTGTAGTGCTATTTGTTAAACTGGGCCTAAATAATGTTTTAGTTATTTTTTCACTTAGTTTTAATATGACAGCAGAGTGATCCGAATTAAAATCATAGTTATCTTCAAGGCTTAGAAAGTTTTCTGATATTTTTTTGGTTATAAAAAAGTCAATAATATCAGGAATTTTGTTAGTGTCAGTAGGCCAATAAGTAGGAGTGCCAGTGGAGTGATAGCAACAACCTAGCTCTTGAATATCTTTTCTTAGCTTTCTTCCTCTAGTTAAGGTGACTCTAGAACCCCAATCTGTATGTTTGGCATTATAGTCACCTCCTATTAGGTATCTGTGTCCATGCCTGTACAGGAAATCTTTAAAAGTATTTTTCTTAATGCTGCAATTTGCTGGACAGTATACGGCACCAACAGTAAAGTCTGTTTAGTCGATTTAATTTTTATCGAAATAAGCTGAATTTCAGCCGTTTCTATCTTGAATTCTTCATTATGTTCTATACTTGCTTTTATTGGTATTGCACTACCTCCTCTTGGCTGATTGCAGTGATATACCCCTTTACAGCTATCATAGCCCTTTATTTTAAGGCTCGTATAAAATGCAAATGAGCCTCCGACAGCAAACAAATATCTATATTTCTCGTTTTGAGAATGACCTCCAATTCTTGTTTCTTATTAAGAACACCATTAGCATTCCAAGTTACTATACGTACCTCATTTACGTACATCTTTTCTTAACTTCTTTGGTGTCCCCGTATACATCTCAGTGTATGCATTTTCTATTTTTAATAATCTTTTAGAGATCTCGTCAATTCTTATCAACATACTATGCATCATTTGCATAATGTCTGCGTCAGTTCTTTTTATTTGTGGGGTTTTATTCTCAGGTTCCTTCATTTTCTTTTTTTGT